TAATTAAGACGTAAATAACAACAATAAAATAACCGAAAAAATCATTTCCACTAAATAATTTGCAACATAAATACAGAGGCAAAAATTACAATAAAACACTAGCCACCCATGCTTTTTTAAGTAACAAAATTGTAATGCCTTCGTGTAGAAAGGTTTTAGTTTGTCTTTTTGCCTTTGGCTACCAGTGCCATAAACTTCCAAGTTTGATGAAAGTTATGATTCAAGATTAGAAAAAGAAAGAAGCAAACGATAGAAAAGACAGGGAAACACTCCAATCTACTGACGGAAAAACCAAACTCTATTAAACACTTTGCTCCTTTTTTACATAACATTTTTGCTGGAAATTATTTTTGAAACAAACTAGGTAGGAGAGCTGCTGATTATATTTTAAAAAAAGATGAACAATAAAAACAACTAAGAGCCGACAATTAAAACAACTACACAAGGTATTTGGACTACAGACATCAACAAAGCCCGTACAATAAAGATACACCACTAAACAAGACCACTGCCCCACTAAAGAAGGCATAAGTGATGTCACTCAACAACTAACCCAACACCATTACCGGATGACAACTGCCAAATCGAGACGGCATGCTCGTCCGCATCTAAAACATATATGTCGATTAATTCTATGCACGAGCGACCATGTCTTCTCTCTGTAAGTACTTTGATTTCTACAACAGCTCTCTTCAAAACATTAGACCATCACGAACATATTCAGAGACAAGCTCATTTCTATCGTTAGTTCCAGGGTGCGGAGCTGAGGTTTTCTACCATGGCGATGTTCTTGTCTTCCATTTTGAGCGACCTTACCGGTAGATCCATATCGTTCCTGATCGACAAATGCACGAGGTTGACCTCGCCGCCGACAGTAGAGGAGACGCTGAGCAACCTACAGCGGCTTCTCCTCCGGGTTCATGTCATCGTCGAGGAGGCCGATGAGCGGCACATCAGTAACCAGGCCATGCTCCGGCAGTTGAGCCAGCTAAGGAAGCAGATGTACAGAGGGTATCACACGCAGGGATGAAAACGGTACGGATATTTTCTGACCGTATTCGAGTCCGAATCCGTTTAGAGAGGTTTAGATTTGTCCGTATCCGAGTCCGGATATTCAACATCCGATACTGTATTCGTATCCGAATACTCAAATCACATATTTACGATGTCGACATCTAATCGTATCCTATCCAGTATGGCTGATACTATCCGTATTCGAATCCGAATCCGACTAGAAATGTGAAAACAAATATAATATCAGTGATATCCGTTCGTATCCGATCCGTTTTCATCCCTAATCACACGCTTGACACCTTCAGAGGCCGAGTGAGCCCATCTTTCACCACATCCACATCCATTTTCAGTCCTGCCAAACGCATCCGTTTCAGCAGCGATGGCAGCTCAAGTGAACAAGAGGAGCAGTTCAGACAAGCTCTTGGCTGCCTAGAGATCATCATCAGAGATGCAAGTGAGCTCGTTGTGTTCTTGAGTGGATGTCCTCGCCGGTGCCGCCAGCCCAACAGCATGTACCTGATTATGGACAAGTGCATGTTCGGTCGCCAAATGGAGATGGAGCAAATCTTGGGCTTCCTGCTGCAGGAAGAGGTTCCCATCGATGGAAACACACCAGGTGTCCTGCCCATTGTTGGCCCGAGGAGGATAGGGAAGAGCACCCTAATTGAGCACGCTTGCAACCACGAAAGAGTGCGTGACCACTTCTCTAAGATCATGTGTTTCAGGCAATGTGGTACAAGAGATGAGAGGACAGTGGCAACTCTAAGTGATTGTGATGTAATCAAGCACCACCGCCGTGCCATTGACGAAGAAAGGATATTGGTGATAATCGAACTAACTGGTGACATGGATGAAGATGTATGGAGGAAATTTTACTCTGACTGCAAACATCATGTTGCAGGTGGGAGTAAAATTATTGTCGCTAGTCGATCCAACAAGATTGTGAGGTTTGGAACAACACAACCGCTGGAAGTAAGACCCCTCACGCCAGAAGAGTATTGGTACTTCTTCAAGGTGCGTATATTTGGTAGCACAGACACACAAGACCACCCGAAACTGGCATCAATAGCCATGGACTTGGCGCATGAGATGCACGGGTCTTTCTTAAACGCAAGCGTCATCAGCGCCCTGCTGAAAGCCAATTTCGACACCCATTTCTGGAGCGTGGTTCTTGCAAGCATGAAAAGGATCAAGCGGACAAATTCCTTGCTCTACGGAGAGAAATGGGATTGTTTCTTGGGAATCGAGCTGGTAAATATCCGAAGAGCAAACAAGACATCTTCTGAATATTTGGTGATTCTTCATGACTATGAAACAGGTTTTGTTCAGAACAAGGCTGAAAATGAAGGCCCTCAGATGAGTATCCGAGATTTCTTTTTTGGTAGTAAAAGTGTTAGACCTCGTGGGAGGTTCGAAGTTGTTACATGGAGATCACATATACCACCTCACTACAGCTACATGTGGGAGTGTGAGGTGCGGAGGTCACAGCGAATGGTCTCGAGGAGGAAGAGAATTCAACAGATTCAGCAGAGCTGATCATCATTGTCGTCTCTCATGACTTCGATTCGGAGGTAGAACAAAATAAGATGTACTCTCTCCGTTTTTGTTTCCTCCTTTTCCATTTCAGTTTCTGTGGTGTCTGATATAGTGTGTTTGTGCCAAAAATAACTATTTTTATTAGTAGTTAACGTCCTCTGTCAAGGAAAATTAATAAGTAGTTCAAATGGTGAAGGTTTGACAAGTACTCTATTTCAAATTATAAGTTGTTCTGGCTTTTTTAGATGCATAGCATTGCTATGCATTTAGGGATAATGTATATTTAGACGCGCAGCAATAGCTATGTACGCAGAGAAGCCAGGACGACTTACAATTTGAAACCAGAGGGAGTACAGTCTAGACAGAATGCCAAACAACAAATAAACAACTAAGAGTGGGTACTTTTCACGAAGAGTAGTGGACTACGAGTGAAGTAGAATCAAGAGTCTTCATCACAATAAACAAATAAGCTATCTACTATAGCATGCTCTCTCGTACCGTACCTATCTCTCGCCTCTACATGTACAGTTACTTCACGTAAATTACCGCAAAAAAGGAAGAAAGGTACCCTGTGTGCGCAGCGGCGCCAGCACTAGCTGAGGTGAAAGAACGTGCAATGGCCTCATGCTCATGGTCTGGCAGTACTGTTGGTGTGTTGCAGGTGCAGGTGATCTATGCCTCTATCCACAGTTCTTAGCTGCACTGCATCGACAGTCTTGTAATCTTTTGTGCTATTGGGTTTTATTGACTGCATCTGCGTAGAACTCTGCTGTGAGCTTCAATGGCGTGTTTCAGAGGTAACACTTCACTGAGGGATTGGTATTCTGCAATTTACAGGCATGGATTTATGACTCGGTGACATATATAATTTCAAAGCAGTAAGTTCATGGTATGCATCTCATAATAATCAATTTCTCAAAAAATATATAACCAAAATAATCACCAAGGATTCATAGATAGGATGGGAATTGGAACACTAGAAAATTAGCCCTATCCTGAATCCTGTTTCAACCAGTTTTAAGCTGTTGAAGTCCATTTTTCTTTACTCGAGGAACTGTAGGCACCAAAGCTACCTTAAGAGAAATCATCCCTTATATCCCCAAGCATTTGCAAGTGTCAACAACTTCATCATCTCCAAGCATGTGCTGCTAACTCCAAATTGTGTGTATCCTCAAATGCACTATATAATTGGCACATACCCTACAGTATGAACAGGTGTGAAGCTAGTGCTAAATTAACCCTAGCAGACCAGTCAAGGAACATGTATTATTTCGTTGAAATTTACAGTGAATGGCCTTAGTTAGTGGCAAAAATACTACTATCATGGTGCCTTGGCTCCAAGGTAGCTCAATCTAGGGAAATCGCCCCTGAGTATCAATACATTTGTTGAGCATGTTCCCAATACATACAAGAAACGGATCTTTCCCCTGCCAACTTTTTTTTTTATCCACCTGATGTTTAGTAGATAGTAAAGATTCATATACAGATCTTTCCACTGCCATACTTAGCATGAGAGATCTGAGGATGATATAGTCATAAAAAAAGGTCCAAATGCATCGACCCTCAACCTGGGAACGTCGACCACAACCCGGTACGCAGGATCATTTTCGACCCCGTCATGTAAAAGCCTCTCACAAGTACCATACCACGTTCCTCGACCCCGTCGATTTGGGAACAAGCCCTAGTAATAGAATAAACTTTCAGAAGAAATGGAAAGTCTTGTGACAGCAGGTAATCCTAGTCCTAGAAAACGAATATGTTAAGCTACTCAGAATGCTGCCTCTGACAAGAAAAAAGGAGGGCATAAGGGTACAAGTTGCAAGAGATTTACGCCCTGTTCATTTGAAAAGGTTGATTTGGCTGATAAGTAGGATGACTGAAAAGCAACATCTGAGCTTCTTGAGAGAGAAAATATTGTTGGTTGGTTGATACAGCCAGGCATTAAGCCAAACATAGGCAATTAAGATAACAGGCTATTATTAGGCAGTGGAAAAGGTTGATCTCAACTTCTCAAGGAGTAGGACGGGCTGCAAGCAACATCTATAAGCTTCTTCCAGCATAGGGTGTATGGAAATGTTGCACAGGCAGGCATTACCTTAGACGTAGGCAATTAAGGTAGTACCTACATTACACAGCTATGAATATTATTAATTCATTCTTTTCATTCTTTACGTGTCAGCAGTTAGTACACTGTTTACAGAGTGTTTCTTCACTACCTAACTTTACAGTAGCAAATGATTTGGTGCTAACACTAGACAAATCTGGATATTCTTCATTTATTCATTATGCTTATAACTAGTTTATTTGTCAATATTTCTGGACTGTACATGGAACATTCATTCTCTAACTTTATCATGTTTTTTTGTAACTGAAATTATCATGTGCATTAACATTAATCCCACACTCTTATGCATCACACGTAGCTTACCTGCCGATAATTCTATAATCTTCTAAATTGTTGTATCATTCAGAATTACTGCATTCTTGAGCACCACAGTTATCCCAGAACGAATGTAATATCCTTCAGCTGGCCTGTCTGCTTCTTGCACATTCTACATTCATAAGGGAATATTCTCAACTCAACATCTTACTGTGGAAAAAATGGCAACCAAGAATTTCATAACATGAACAAAAATAACATTTGCAGAATGTAATACCCTAGTTATATGTCATATTGGCACCAATTTTACCATGGTTTTCCTGGCCACCTTTTTTTAGCATAGTAGGTTAGGTCATTTCATTCTAGCAATGCCTTTTTAAGAAGAGATAAGGCTATTTCTAAGCCAAAAAAACAAGCATATATCACAACTTTTGTAAAGAAACTTGCAACCCAAAAAAACATATTTCAGATCAAGTGATAGTTGATTGCAGAATGTTTCTTGCCTCTGCGATAAGTAGTACATATTCCTAAATGCACAAAAAGCTGGCATTGTTTGTTATTTGTAGTTGGTCAAATGAAGTGTCAACCGTTGATTCATTACTGCAAGCATGTTCATGCTCATCCTTACCGAGTAATCTTATGGTAGCATGCTATGCTCATTGTTACAGAGTAATTTATTTTATCAGTAAATGGCTAAGAAACTGAGCTAGCAGATGTTGAAGAGGCTCAAACGTATGGACTTCAAAGGCTTCCATAAAATTTATGAGAGAGGTCATACCTCAGAGTTCATAATGACTACATTCTTCCCAATTCGAGCATTTTTATCAATGATACAGTTCCTGTGTGACAAAACTCTATGTCAATGGAACATGCATAATACTTATGCAACCAAGTTTATAACAAATACACAATAACCTTATTTTAGTGTTCTCTCCAACACCGACTGGAACTTTTCCAACTGACAGTTCAGATAATCTCTCAGCTTCAGTCTGGTAGTAATCTGCCCCCATCATCATTGTGTCCTAAACCAGTTTGTTGTTCTATTAATAAACTTGAAAATAAACAAGCAATCCACAATATTCAATTAGAATAAAAACTTATCAGTTATCAATACTGGATACCTAGTCGCATTTTAGAGTACAGTTGACAATTAAATAACCATGAACATTTTGCTTCAAAATCAAAACCAACAAAAGGGTACAAATTTGGCACAAAACTAAACAAACAACAGAGTTCATAAATGCTCAATGATGCATGGTGATGCCACAAATGTGTATATTACAGAAAACAAACATAAATAGATGGGCACTGCAGAGTAATAATCTGATGGCTGTGATAACAGATTGGGCTACATCATCTGATGTTTTATTTAGCATTTTATATGTTTAATTACCATTGTGAGCATTAAATCTTCCTTAATAAAGTTCTGAAGATCAACCATGCATATTGAATACCAAAGGATAACATTTTCCCCACATAGCTCCCACCCCCTTAGGATAGTTTTAGATTTCCTTTGCAACTACATAAGTCACAAACACTCAATAACTTACCTTGAGCTGCACTCCCGGTTCTAATCTTGAGCGGATACCAATGACAGAGTGCTCAACACTGCACTCAGTTAGAAAGCAGCCATGTGAAACTATAGAGTTCAAAACCTGCACAAAAACAGATATATCAAGCAAGGCTGCCAGGAAATGAATTATAAACGAAACAATGTATAGGCGGTAAGAGATTCTGACCTTGCAGTTTTCTACCTTGGTTGGAGGTAAAAATCTAGGAGATGTAAAAATAGGTTTCACGGGATCATAAAAATAGAAGTTGGGAGACTAGAAAATAATAAATGAAATTATTATCCTGGCACAGAAAGATTAAGCCAGAAACGATGTCAATCGAAATGTAAACCTGATCAGTGAGAGCAAGGTTTGCTTCAAAGAAAGACTTTATTGTTCCAATATCTTCCCAGTAACCATCAAACAAATAAGCCTGGAGCCAACAGAAGAACATGTCCTTCAGAATCACTTGTTCATGACAACTAACAATGGGTAACATAAGTTGATTTTTTGGAGGATTGTAGAGTGTAAATACCTGCACATCATAATCTTTTGCAGCCATTGGAATCACTTCTGAGCCAAAATCATTAGCTGTAGGATAATGGACTCTAATAAATATGCACAACAAACAAAGAACGTAAGTGCCGTCACCACCAGCTGCATCATAATGTGAATGAAGGTGCATGGAGAAATTGCAAGATATAATAATTCCAAGTTACAAGTCAGAAGAGGTAACGATTTTGTAACTTGTGGACAAATTCACATTAGTTGGGAACCACAAAAGAAAAGGCTTAATTAAAAGAAAGCTAGATGTATCGTTATACACAAGGTTGTGAACACAAAATGCCATCGATGCATTGTTCTTTCATGAAAAAAGGTTTTTTAAAAAAAATAAAAAGCCTTACTTAGTGAGTTAGTTCTAATTCTTACCTCAGAAGCTTTCTGAGAACATCTGCCTTGAATACATATATTCCCATTGAAGCCATGTATTTGTATGTACTTGCAAACTCTGGGGATAATCCAAACAATCCCATGTCCATTTGCTGCATTAACAAGTATGGTAGACTATTTAAAAACCTTTCCACAAAGTAAACAAATCAAACGATAGTGTTCGAAATGAAGTTAGGGAGACAGAGGATTCAACTCAAATATTATAGAAAATGATGCAACATAAAAGGAAGCCCATGAACAAAAATGTTAATTATGCAAAAGAAAGGCAACATGTGGTCAATCTATACTTGTCTGAACAAATCATCAAGTAGTTGTTCATTTTTGGGGTCAGTGAGAGGGAATGTACCATTGATTTCAAATTTTCACCCTTGGGCTTTTCAACGAAATCAGTGATACGACCATTCCTGTCAGCCTTCATCAATCCAAAATCAGATGCTCGACTGCATGTAGATGAGATAAAAAACAAATAAAAAGATAGGAATATGTTAGCGTGGGATATGTCAACAGAAAACAAGGCCATTCTAGTTCTTATAAAATGCAAAGCACGAGATATCCAAAGCTTTCCAGCATGAACATTGATGATGGTCATAAACAGGTATGCTCTAGTGAATAAACAGTGCATTACAGTATAGGTAACTAGCTAAGATATCATATTGGCATATTGCTTTGTTAGCCAACTGAAGACTAGTTTAATTACCAAGAAAAAGCAAGAAACAAATTCAAAAGGGACAAAGCTGAATGACCTTTCATCCATAGGAACACACGCAACTGAAATATCAGCACCAGAGTCAACATGCTTCTGCAAAACAGTGTTATAATATATCTTTGTCCAGCAACGAAAAAATAAGACTGAAACTACATCAACTTGGAGCAGATAGGAGACCTGCACAAAGTCCATATAATCCATCCTATACAGATGATCGCCAGACAGAATCAGTATGTTTTCTATACATTTGAGTCTTGCGTCCTTCACAGAATATCAGGCAAAAAAGTTAATTGGAGATAGTGATAGCATCCTCCGAAAGGTAGAGCATTACACATGGCCCAGGAAGAACCTCAAAAAGCCAGAGGAACTGCCTGACAGCATCTGCTGTTCCCTGGAACCATTTCTTTCCGGATTCCCCAGCTGTCTGGGTAGCTGCCAGCACCTATTCCATGAGTAAAAATAAACAGGCAGAAAACATTGGTCACGTGCCCATCACACTGGTAACGCACAATGGCATTTCACAATTGACCCTGCTTAGACTGAAGAGTGTGTACCTCCACGGACCCACCACTAAATCCAACTCCCTCACCAAAGTTGTATGTCCGTGCGATATGGCGATTGAGAGACTGGGAATTGAACTGGGTGAGGACGTAGATCTTGTTGATCTTGCTGTTTATGCAGTTGCTCATCGGGATGTCGATGAGCCTGTAGCATCCCCCGACGGGCACCTGAAAGCGAGCGACAACAGCTGAATCACTATTACAGTAACTACCTCGCAGCTCAGTCGATTGCAACGGGAGTTTCCAACCGCTAATCCCAAGTTGTGAAATGCCGATTGCCCACCAAATGAATCAGGACAGGAATAACGAAATGCGATTTGTGAGCGATGGGGACATAGTCTAGAAACAGGGAGGGGGCTGAGGCGATTATTACCGCGGGCTTGGCCCTGGTCCGCGTGAGCGGGAAGAGGCGCGTGCCAGCGCCACCGCCGAGGATGATGGAGGCCACCGTGTCCGGGCTGACGTCCCTCCGCGCCGCCGCCTGGGCGCCCGCGTCCGCCTGCTCCTCCTGGCACACAGGCGACAACCCGAAAATGTGATCGACCCGCCGTACCACGGACCGGCACGGCACGCAATACAGATCACGCCACGCTTGTCCGATTGTTGGAAGTCGGAACCACGCGGACCCCACGCAATGCGCGAGCGCGACTTACCTTGATCTCCCGGGGGGCGTCGGCGAGGACGCAGTTGCTGGTGGTGGGGGCGGCGGCGGCCGACAACGCGCGGCGCGGGACCGGGGGCGAGGCGCGGCGCGCGGGGAGCGGCGCCGCGGGGCTGGCGAGGAAGGCCGAGCTCGCGTGCGGCGCCGCGGGGTACGCCATCGGCCGTGCAGCCGTGGTACGTACGGGGGGCCGCGAGGGGCGAACGGAACGCGGGGGAAGGAGACGGCGGAACCGGGAGAGCCTCTCTCTCTGCCAGTGGGGTTGCAGTTCGGGGTTTTGTAACGGGACGGGACGGGACGGAGTGGAGCGGTGTGGGGAGCCGAGAAGAGTGGGGAGGCGCGTGGGGCGCGTGGGGGCGGGCACGGGGGGGTCTCGGATCCAGCTCGCGGCTCAAGGCACGGGACCTTGGCTGGCCGGCCGTTCGGCGGTGGTGGCCCGGCTGAATGCTTCTTGATTCCCCACGGTTCCGTTCCACCGCTCACCGCCAGCTTAAAAAAGCCGTCGCCGCGCGCTCCTAGGCGCTGCATGTTGACATGGTGTGCGGCTAGGCGCTCACAAGGCCACAGCCCACCCACCTATGGGCGTAACTGGCTGTGATGCCCCCATGGCTAGGCCTCGTGCATTCTGAGAAGTTTGGTTGTCTAGGTTGCATTCGTTTTCTTTTCTCTGTACCTACATGCGGAGCATGTGCTATCTTGACCGTCCAGACACTAAATTGAGATATATGTCATACAAAACAGTGGTGTGGAGCAGTGAGCAAAGTGAGCAGCACAAATAAAAAAAAGATTTTCAACGATGAAGATAGACACTCTGTTCGTTTGTTGGTTTCAGCCAGGCTTATTCAACCAGCCAACAGTGTTTTCCTCTCACAACATGCCAGCACCAGCCAGCCCAAACCAGCTCAGAAACCAACCAGCGAACACACCGAGAGCATGCTCAACATGTACATGCTACAACACGTTTTCGTTTTCTTTCAAATCGTGCAACATCTCTCGTGGCCCGGACGGTATGAAAAAAAAATACTATGCTTGTATAAGAGAAGCTCCAAGCATTTGAGTTGCATATTATAGTTGCGTACTTGTAGTTGGTTAGTGCTTGAACAAAAGATGTTGGTCTTGATAATGCTTCAACCTTTTATGCTCAGGCTAAAAAAATGTACAGTCGTACACACATAAGACAATGGTGTTAGGAAGTTCTATACTTTAGGTGTAGATCTAGCGGGTAAAACAAACATCTGTTGGTGTACCTTGGTAGCTAGTGCGCCCGTAGCGATCGAATATGAAGTGCAGTCGCAGTCCCTACGGCGACACGAGGTACAGTGTGCCGGTGGTGGCACTGCAGAGGCGACGGTGAGGTTGGTCTGGTGGTGACGGCGAAGTCAGTAGATCTTCCGGACGCTGGCAGCACTCACTTTAGATCGGATTAGGTTTATCTGTTGGTGGATCACAGCGGTTCAGGTCAACCTCGTAGTTCGAGCCCTGATCCCCACCTCTCTTTATAGTGCTGTGCGATAGGGGTCCACCAACCATATTAGGGTTGGACGTCCCCAATCAGGGCGCAGATCCAAGGGTCCAATAGGCCGTTGGGCCTATTGGTGGAGATCAACTAACATTCTCTCCCTTGATCTCACTACCATCTTTCAATTTCATATCATTTATTTTTGTTCATTCCATTACAGATTAGCACATAGAGCATGTTTCATCATCACGGTCAATTGCCGATAGATTTAACAGCTACAACACACCACTTTGTTCTAAAATAGATACTTAACTTTGGGCCTTCTTTTATCCAGAAATTATAGGCTTTTCCTTAAACCCATGCTAGCTACATGTTTTCTGAACACGCTGGGTGGTAAACCTTTTGTAAGTGGATCCGCGAGCATCTTTTCGGTACTTATATGCTCAAGACTTATGACATGATTCTGGACTTTATCTTTCACAATATAATACTTTATGTCAATGTATTTGGCAGCACCACTTGACTTATTGTTGTGAGCATACTGTACTATTGGATTATTATCGCAGTATAACTTAAGTGGTCTATAGATGTCGTTAACCACCTTCAAACCGGGTATGAACTTCTTTAGCCAGTTCACCTGCCCTGTTGCCTCATAACACGCTACAAACTCGGCATACATTGTGGACGATGTAGTGACGGTTTGCTTTGAGCTTTTTCATGAAATAGCTCCCCTTGCGATAGTGAATACATATCCAGACGTGGATTTTCTATCATCTCCCGTATAATCAGAATCAGAATATCCCACTATATGGAGTGAATCTGATCTTTTATACGTCATCATGAGGCTTTTTGTTCCTTGTAAATAACGTAATACTTTCTTTACCATTTTCCAGTGTTCTGTTCCAGGATTGCTCTGGAATCTGCCAAGCAACCCGGTAACAAATGCCAAGTCAGGACGCATACATACTTGAGCATATTGCAAGCTTCCGACAGCTGAAGCATATGGAACCGCTTTCATTTGATCGATCTCATATTGGTTCCTGAGGTATTAAAAATCCCCATATCTGTCGCCCTTGACTATAGGAGCAGGTGAGGGACTACATTTGTGCATACTGAATTTCTTTAAGATCTTTTCTATGTATGCCTTTTGTGACAGTCCTAATACCCCTTTACTTCTATCTCGGTGAATCTCGATCCCTAGAATGAACGAAGCTTCACCAAGATCTTTCATATCAAATTTTGAGGACAAAAACTTCTTTGTCTCCAGTAGTAGACTGACATCACTACTAGCAAGTAAGATATTATCCACATACAGGACAAGGAAGATAAACTTCACATTCTTAAACTTTGCATAGACACAATTATCCTCAACATTCTCTTTAAACCTAAAATTCCTTATTGTCTGATCAAACTTCAAGCACGCATTCGTTCTTTTCCTTCCATGACAAAACCTTTCGGTTGTGCCATGTAAACATTTCCCTCCAAGTCCCCGTTGAGAAATGCCGTCTTTACATCCATCTGATGTAATTCTAAATCGTAATGTGCCACTAATGCCATTATGATTCTGAAGGAATCCTTACATGAGACTGGAGAAAAGGTCTCATTGTAATCAATGCCTTCTCTTTGCGTAAAGCCCTTTGCCACAAGTCGTGCTTTATATCTCTCTATATTTCATTGAGAGTCAAGTTTTGTTTTGTAGACCCATTTACAGCCTACTATTTTGGCTCCTTTAGGAATTATTTTCAAGTCCCAAACTTTATTGGCATTTATAGATTTTATTTCATCTTCCATGGCCTCAAGCCACTTTGATGAATGATCATTTCTCATGGCTTCTTCAAATGAGGTGGGATCATCCTCCATTTAAAATTTCTCAGTGTTGTATACTTCATAGTCAGCAGGAATACCTGATTTTCTAACTCTTTGAGACCTTCTAGGGGCTTCTACATTTGGCACATCTTCTGTTTGAGGCTGTTGTTGCTCCCCTCATGTGTGACAATAGGTTCTACAGGATCATGAAGAACAGGTTCCTTATCGTCATTCATTGTTGCCACAGGCGGAATAACAACAAGTGCTGGCACCACAGTATCTTGCACTGTCGGTACAGCGACAGCAGGTAGTGAGAAAAATGGCTCATGAATCATCGGAGTGGGCGCATACACTCGCTTCTCTTCAAGGTCAATTTCTCGAGTTACCATGCTCCCCCTCATCATTTCATCCTCTAGGAAGACAGCGTGTCTCGTTTTTATAAACTGTGTATGTCTGTCTAGACAGTATAAATGAAAACATTTTGATTTTTCTAGGTAGCCAATGAAATTGCAACTTACTGTTTTGGGATCTAGCTTCTCAATGTTTGGGTTAAATACTTTAGCCTCAGCAGGGCTCCCCCACACACGTAAGTGGTTTAGTGAGGGTACTCTTCCTGTCCACAACTCATACGGTGTTTTGGGCACCGACTTACTTGGTACTCTATTGAGAATATGAATGACGGTTTTAATGTCTCCATCCACAGGCTCAACGGTAAGGTGGAGTAACTTATCATACTGCGCACCATATCCATCAGGGTACGATTGCGTCTTTCAGCTACTCTATTCTGCTGAGGTTCGCCCGGTGTAGAATACTTGGCTACTATGTCATTCTCCTGTAAGAACCTTGCAAAAGGTCTAGGAACTTGGCCATATGGGGTATGCCGACCGTAGTACTCCTCCCATGGTCGGACCTAACTATCTTAATCTTTAAATTATGTTGGTTTTCAACTTCTGCCTTAAATATTTTAAATTTATCCAATGCTTCGGTTATTTCTTTGATTGGATAAATGTAGCCATAATGGGAGTAATCATCTATGAATGTTATGAACGAATCATAACCATCCATACTCTTTACAGAAAACTGACCACAGATGTCTGTATGAATAATCTGTAAAATTCCTACGCTTCGTTTGACATTTTTCTTAATTTTCTTTGCATACTTTCCTTTTATGCATTCTCTGCATTGTTCTAAATTTAAGAACTCTAATGAAGAAAGAATATCATTCTTAACTAGTCTTTCTATTCTCTCCCTCGAAATATGGCCTAAACGACAGTGCTATAATTTCGATGACGCATCGTGAACTCTCTTTCGTTTTCTGTTTACTTCCGCAGACGAGGATACATTCTCATTGTCACACGCAATGTTCCCATCATCGCATACAACATTCACATCATCACGTAGTGATAACAAATAGTATGTGCTCTCTTATGCCACCATTTTCAGAGTACCTCTCTGTCACCAGCTGCTTTATCAGCTGTGTAGCATGTCTTTGAAGAACCAGTGAACCGACTCTTTATTTTATCGAGGTACTCGGTGACCGTGTCATACTCTGGGATTGAGCCCACAATTACAGGCTCAATCGCGTTCTTTATCACAGCCAAACATTTCTTGTTGGCAGTGACCCACTTCCTATGCTCAACATCATAGGACATCTTTTGAGATTCAAAATCCCCCTCTTTAGTTGCCCAAGCGGCATCAACCTCGTTTGTCTCCCTCACTAGTGCCACAAGCTCAGTGGGACACGTTGAGGTGACTACCCAGTCCACCTTAGCCAAGATGAAGGCTAGGTCAATCTTTTTCTTTCACTCCGTGTAGTTGTCACCTTTGAGAGTGGGGATCTCTAACAATTGCATGTCTTGATTCCAATGTTGGTCAAAATTAAAAACATACAACTGTTCTTATACACTAATTCTACATCACCGTTGGGCAGAAATAGAATTAATGCATAAAATCATTAAAATTTACAACTGTTCTTATACACTAATTCTACATCACCGTTGGACAGAAATAGAATTAATGCATAAAATCATTAAAATTACGATATTGTTATTAACAACGTTGGTTAGAAAATAACAACATCGTAATCATGTCAAAAACTCTTTTCTCCAATTAAATATCACGTTGGTTCAAAATAACTGTAGAATAAACAATTTCTTTAGCAGCGGAAAAACTAATTCAATTTAATGAATTTTGTCCACAGGAAAAATCTCTTTTCTATTTTCTTTAAGCCATTAATCAATTTCCACGAAATAAACATTTACTGGAAAAAGGAAAAAAGATTCAATTCTTTCACAGTTTTCGGCCCAACCGGCAAAACGGCCCACGGCCGCGCGCGCGCTCTCCCTCATGCTCCCCCGCGCCCAGGCCGCAACCTGGGCCTGGGCGGGGAAAGTGGCCCAGAGCTCACGCCCGCCTGGGCCGAAAGCCGGCCCGGCCGTTCGCAACCGCTCGATCAAGATCGACGGTCGTCCGCGTGTCTCGGGAGATCAAAAGCATGCCGCGGCCGGTGCCCTGAAACCCTAATTCCATTTCACATTCTCTGCTTCTCTCTCTTCGCTCTCTCTTCACCGCTCTCCTCTTCCCTCTCAGCGTAGCCACAGTGAGCGACCGAGAGCGAGACGCGACGCGGGGATGGTGGCTCCACCGTGGCACCCCTCGTCGGCACACGCGTGCGGCGGGAGCCGCGCGTGGCACCGTCGAGCGGCACCATGGTGGTGCCCTTTGGCCCGAGCCCGAGGCGGAGATCGTGCGGCGGCACTTCTCCCGCCCCAACGGCTGAGGTTGTCTTCCCGCACGGTGTCCACACGACTGCCGGCGGTGGAGACGAAGCGGGCGGACCCCAGGTAGGAGCCCCTGCCCTTTGTCTGTTCATTTTCTTCCCCTTTCTCGTCGCGAGTTAGGGTTTCGTTAGGTAAGCCGCCTTGCTAGCTCTTCCCCTTTCCCCTTCTTTTCTTTTGGATCTTCTTTCTTTTCTTCTCGGAGCTTTACCGATTGGGGATTAGGGTTAGGGTTGCATATTGTTCTTCTTCCCTGAGCTGTTTGCGCGGGTTAGGGTTAGGGTTTGACTCACTGGAGTCACTATTCATCTTCCCGAACGAGTTCTTCGTGGGTTTGAGCTCGGATTCAGGTTCTTCTTGAAGCCGAGTCCTTCTTCTTACTCCTTTCCTTCACCTATTAGGGTTGGGGTTCAGCGACCCTCTTTTAGATCTGAAAACCGAATCTCTCACCTCGGCTCTGTTCTTTTCTTGCCGCGTGCCGGCGAAGACGGTGGTGCGACATCTTTCCCCGCTCGGTGGCGGTGGTGACCGAGAGTTGAGTGACATCCGCCACCCCCCGGTCTCTTTTCATTTTCTTTTACCCAGTTAGGGTTAGGGTTTTAATCCGAACCGGATCGAACCCACTGTTACTCTTTGATTTCTTTTCAATTTTCTACAGCATACTAGATCTACACACTAGCAACCTTGGCTCTGGTACCATTGTTAGGAAGTTCTATACTCTAGGTGTAGATCTAGCGGGTAAAACAAACATCTGTTGGTGTACCTTGGTAGCTAGTGCGCCCGCAGCGATCGAAGATGAAGTGCGGTCGTAGTCCCTACGGCGACGCGAGGTACAGCGTCCCAGTGGTGGCACTGCAGAGGCGACGGTGAGGTTGGTCCGGTGGTGACGGCGAAGTCAGTGGGTCTTCCCGTCGCTGGCAGCACTCACTTTAGATCGGATTAGGTTTAGCTGTTGGTGGATCACAGCGGCTCAGGTCAACCTCGTAGTTCAAGCCCTCATCCCCACCTCTCTTTATAGTGTTGTGCAACAGGGGCCCGCCAACCATATTAGGGTTGGACGCCCCCGATCAGGGCGCAGATCCAAGGGCCAATAGGCCATGGTGGAGATCAACTAACAAATGGGAGAACAAAAAAAGAAGATATGCATATGTTTTTTTCTTTGGTGGGTCTCTCATCGTTGCTCATAGCCTCGTACATTACAATATTCCAGTATCGATGCTGAATAACCACATGCATGGGGTCTATCTTTCATGAGTGTTAATGTCCGTTATTATGATCATTTTTATCAAGTCAGGTTTTACTTCTAACAATTGTAAAGAATGAATTTCTATAACTAGACGAGAATACCCTTTTAGAACAATCACTATCGTGTATTCTCGTATCATGAAGTCTGTTCATGGTTTTCACCATGTTTATGGACATTTCTCATGTGTGTTTTACTGACATGCCTGTCTACATAATGGAAGCGAAAAGAAATGAAAAAGGAGCGATGGAAACGTGAATCTCATTGCCCATCTCATCTATGGGCCCTTCCTATTGAGTAGATAAAATATTTTTAAGACAGAAGATGTATGTGTCTTCATGCTTCATTGGTGCCTTATCTAATTCTTATGATACGGATATCTAGCAGAATTCTACATTACTAAAAGCAGAGTTGTTTCATTTGAAACTATAAGGTGAATAATGGTTCTATGATTAACAGATGTCTACTCTACATTTAGTTCAAGATTAGAAATCAAAACATCGTGATAAAATCGAGCGCGAGGGCTAGAACTTCGTGCCTCTTAACCTTGATGACCATGGAATTTTTTAAAAAGGCACTATTGAGTGTAAGCAGTGGGTTGATTTTTAATCTTGAACTAAAAAACTTAGTGGCAAACGTAGGAGGAAACTTAAGAGGGGGTTGTCATCTTCAACCTTCAACAAAGGAGGAGAACCCCTAGTCCCTTCTTCCTCTCTTTCATCTCTCCATATTTGAAGGGGGAAGGGGGCTCCATGGTGACATAGACTACCATATTATAGGAGAGCTTGAACCCCTGCTGCCCTGTTAAGTCTGCTTCTAGCTTCATCGGCTCCCTGATACATTTTATTAAGAAGTCAAAGCTAGAGCTCCATCTAATGAGACCTTTAGTCAATTAATCTAGTTGGGTTCCATTCTTTTTGTTTTCTTTGTCAAAATAAACAATGCTTTACCATATTTATGAGTTTGTAATATGCATGTCAAATGCATAACCATCAGACCAAGAGTTAGCACTCCCCATTAATAGTCCTCACTGGAGGACTTACGCGTGGGCATCGTCCCTTGGCATTTGAAAAAAAATTAAGCGCTTTCCACATGTATTTCACTCTAGATCTGTAAAGTTTCAAAGCTGATCGAAGTCCATGCCACGTGAATTGATCGAAGTCAAAGGGGTAGAGGTTGCACTAAATCTATAGTTTCCATTCACTAACAATGTATTTAGTTTTGTTTTTGAAGCCATGTGGAATCAGTTGATCCTAATGCCGAACCTAGCCATGGCATTTAGTTTGCGTCATGTGATCGAGTCGTCCGTCATGAAATTAGTTATTCCATGTATAGCGCGCTCCCACATGCCAACAGAAAAAGATGTTGTCAGACAAGAACCATTTCCTGCTGGATCAGTCCAGTCCATGCCACGTGAATTGGATCTTCAAACCAAACACTCTAGTGTTTCTCATCCAGCTTATCTCTTATACTCTTTCAAAAGGTTCTTAAGATCTTCTAAATCTTGTCCCACGAAAGACTTAAGTGAGCCAAGTTAGCATCTTTTTTATTGTAGCATTTGGATTTTCTATTTAAAATTTCGTTTGTATATACTATTATACTTCTGTTTATTACTTAATCTGTTTCAAATTATTAGGTATTTGGCTTTTCTAAATGCATTTATTTTATTATATATCTAGACATGGTTTTTATCTAAATATATAGCAAAACAATGTATTTAGAAAAATCAAAACGTCTTATAATTTGAAACAGAGGAACAATAGTTATCCTCCATGTCCGTACTATATTTATATTTGACAAGAATTTTATATATAACTATAAATTAATTTTTTAACTTAAAGCTATTGTTATCTTGTTTTTCTCTTCTTCTTTTTAGGCATCATCTTGTTTTCGTGGTTGTGTCATTTCTAGCGGGGTCAAATCAAGACGAAACTTCAACGTTCACATCCGAGCAGTGAAAAGTCAAAACTTCGCAAACCCAAACGAATCCCAATTTCACATCCGAGCAGTGAAAAGTCAAAACTTCGCAAACTCCACACGCCAACAAGGCAACGACCCTCGCCACACCACGCGGAAACATCCGTCACCGTCCTCGCCGACCGCGCTGGGGCGCCCCCCACCCACCCGGAGGCCCAGCTCCCCCACGAATCTCGATTCCCCAAACAACATTGCCACCGCCTCCCCGCTTTCCCTCACCTCGCCCCCTCCGCCAAGCCGCGAGCCGCCTCCCTCCCCCTAGGGTTCCTCTCCCCGGAGCCGGGTGGGCGCGGCAAGGGAGAGGGAGGGGATGGAGGGGTGGGCGTCCGCGGCGGCGTACACGGCCGCCGCGCTGGCGTCCGCGGCGGCGGCGACGGTGGTGGCGCTGCGCCTCGTGCACCGGCACCTCCTCCACTACGCCGAGCCCACGCACCAGCGCTTCATCGTCCGCATCATCCTCATGGTCCCGGTACGGCCCGATACCCCGCTTCTGTATACTACTATAGGCGAATCGTAGCTGTTTACGTCAGCTCTCTTAGCTCTTCCCTGTGATTTGTGGGCGAACTGTGACTTGTCCATTTCCAACTGAAATCTTCTGGAGCCGTAGCTATAACGGTTTGCTCATTGATGCTTCCACGCAGCAATAATGGCTTACCATGTGTAGCAACCATTTATGTTCATATATGTGTATACTTGTGTTGCGTATGCATTAGATTGCAGCAGCTGTCTTAGTATTGATAATTGTTTCTTAAATAAAACAAAGGGTCCCTGTTTCTGAAGTTTGATAGTGGTATATCTGTTTCGGGGAATCATTTTTATGTTTTGTTTTGGATGGAGCATGGCAGCACCTTTCTGAATTTTGGTACTTGCCACTGCAACAATAACCCTAGTTACTTTTACCATGATAGCCTGTTTGGTTTGAGCCCAGGCAAAGCTGCCTGGCCCAGGCATGAATCCCAGGCGTCCAATTTTGGAGGTCTGGGGCTGAGATTGCTGCTTGGGCTGGGAGTTGCCTGGAAGGCCCCCAACCAAACACATTTGTGAACAGATAGGTGGTGTACTCAAAGCTGAAAATGATGCTTGGGACTATTGAACCTTACAGCTCTGTGGGAGTTTAAGCAATGTGCTGAGTGGAATGGCTTATATTTTCTTTCTGCTCCCTAGCTCAGAAATTCTTTACCTCATCTCATAAAATTAACTTTGTTGTAGTGGAACCATCGGAACGTGAAGAAGACATATTATCTCATAAACATGATATTTCCAGTTCTGATTCCTGCATGATCTGCTGCCCACATGCTGTTAGGATCAGCTAGTTATATCACAGGGTTTTGGTTACACTATTTGTGCCATGTCCTTGTTCTCTTTGGTTTGGCATAAGCATAATGCATATGAATCATGGCGTCTACCCTCTGTGCATGGAACGTGAACATTTGTCCTAGATAGTTGGTTTCAAGTGTCAGCATGGAATCATATGACTGGATTGTGTTGAATCATTTAATTTTTTTCATCTTACACATGTATTCTGTATCCAGCTTATGTCTTTTCTAACTATCTATAAGTACATCAAATTTTAGGTATATGCAGTGATGTCATTTCTTTCCCTTGTCTTACCACATCAAGCAATCTACTTCAATTCTATTCAAGAAATGTAAGTCAACTACTTGTAACTCAAAAACCTATTTTATTTTATCCTGTGTCACCTAATTCACGCTCATATCACTTGGAACATATATGCTTTCATTCATGATGGATAATGATGCCCTCATATTGAGAACTAATACATGAAATAAAACTGCTCTTGTAACCCTCCTTTTTTAGCACTCATCTGGTATAAGTCCTGTGACTTGATATGGTCCATCACCTTGACCATTGACAAATTGCAGTTCTGAGTGAAACAGTGCTGTTAATGTGAGAAGGGCATGAATTTGCAACTTTTGTTTATGTCACAGTATTGCTAGCTTTGGTGGCACTTGGTATGCATGCACAAGTTTTGAATGCCCTTGCACTAGAATCATTAAGTAGTCAACTTGAGTACTTGACCATTAATGATGCACTACCTGAACCAAAGCAAGAATTTTAGTTTCAAAAGAATGTTAACTTTATGTTCGCAAAAAAAAAAATGTTAACTTTAAGTCTTCAGTAATATACTAGTAACAGTATTAGCAATATCCCCACTGATGCTTCTGAAGGATTGGGGCAGGCTTCTTCTAGCACTGCATTACAGAAAAGCCTCCTGGTTTTTGATGCAAAACCATGGGGGAGTTCCCCACTGTGCCAGTTCCTGCTGGATTAATGAACTAATGAAGTGAAGTTCAATTGTGTGAATACTTACCCAATTAGGGATCAAGGAACAGAGAAAATTGTCATGGAGGCTGTTTTTTTCCTAACTATGCATGCCTATCGAAATCATGATATTAACTTCATGAGCAATGCCATACACTTGCAAGTTACAACGATGTTTCCTTTGACATCTTCGTAGTCCACGAATACATTTATCCAATCAGATTGTTGAGATGTGATCAAATTAGTACTTTATTTTAATAAATCATCAGTGCTGAACTTACTACTTCTAGAAACCTCAGCTAGATACGCATTATCACTTCTAGAAACCTTTATTGCAGTCCACCATCTAACAACTATGTGATCCAGCCATGTATGTTTCGTGATCTTTTGTGAAGAATTGTCCATCAAATGAAAACTAATGGTAAACTGTTCTTGTACTGATGATATGTGGGGTAACATAGGTGACAGTATTATTGTAACCGTTGCTTTTCTTTTCCAGTGTTTATGGGGAGAATTTTCCTGCAGTCTGAATTAGATAGCCTGCTATTTTCCCTCCAGTCTGAGGTAGATAGCCTGTTAGCAAGTCAGTGTGTTTTTGCAAAAATAATTTTGGGCTTTAGACTGTACCACCAAAGGACCCCTATTAATTGCTTATTTGCATCAGTGTTAGAGATTTGGCCACTGGAAGGACAATACGTGCCTAGAAAAAAAGACATTTATGCTTCCTTTGGCCATTGTGATCTTACAATTACAAAAATGCCTCACAAGTCTCATCTTGTATTTATGATCTCTTTGGCAGCACTCATATATCAGCAGAAGAGGTTGTTCTTTTTAGATATTATTTACACTCACAAGCTCAATTGACTTTGTGTAACCGGCTCTGAGTTGAATTGGGTAAAACTAACTGGAGCATGTTGCCCCATGATTAATGCTCTGAACTGTTGAGCTAACAATAACTACTCCCTCCATCCAAACTATAAGACGTTTTGACTTTTCTGGATACATAGCTTTTGGTATGCACTTAGATATACACTATGTCTAGATACAAAGTAAGTAACGTATCTTGAAAAGCCTAAACATCTTATAATTTGGAATGAAGGGAGTACTTGCTAATTCTTTTGTGGCTCCAATAAATGTGAAGTTACCTAGATCAAAATCTCAGACTGTTGCTATTTTTTTACTGAAGTGGATAATTTCGATTTATAGTTTGTTTGAAAACATATGCTCCAGATACAGTGATGTATCTTAAATTGGAACCTTTTATTTGGTGCTCATATAATGTGCTGACAGCCATTTTTTAGTGCCCATTTGCATAGGAACTGTAGACTCTTTATTGACTAGTGAGGACTGAAGTCTACCTCTTTCAAGAAAAAAGGTTGTTTTTTTTTTCTTTCTTTGAAGACTCAGCCTTGAACGTCTTTGCAAAAATGACCTCAACTATGTTGCAAAGAAAAAAGTGCCCCAGGGCATGGCCATCTGTACTAATGGCACCTGACTTTGGAGTCATGAGGTACATTCATACTAGCACTTTGCAGAACAGCATTGGTCATAGTAATACAATCACAAACAAGCTTAACGCCCCAATCTGATTCTTTTTTTTCCAAAATGAGGAGGAAGAACAAAATTTAAGTCCTCTTGAAAAGCTTTGCTGGCATGATAATTCACTGTTTTGTGTTATTGTTATTGTATTTATTTATTTTGTTAAGAGATAATTGATTAGGTGCACTAAATATTCTTCCTCCTGCTGTGGTTCACGCAGGATAGTCTAGTTCAAATGTTATGCATCCTGTTGATTTTTTTCATTGTTTCTGCAGTTCCCTGACAAATTTGTTCTAATATAAGAGGCGCTATATCTAGAATCATGTTTAAACTTGATTCAATTGTGTTTCAGCTATGATGCTTGGGTCATCTACAATTTCCTTTCACTTTGCTTGGCATGGGTTGGAGGTCCTGGTACTGTGGTGGTAAGTTTGAATGGGCAATCTTTGAAACCCTCATGGTTCCTGATGACTTGCTGTTTACCAGCTATTCCTCTAGATGGGTGCGTATTTATCTTTTGTTTGATTAAATGATCAATACAACAATTTTGTACTGTCCACATGCTTTAAAAACCTTATCTCATGGACTATGACTTTTGTGTTCCTGACAGGCGTTTTATACGGAGATGTAAACAAGGCTGTCTGCAGTTTGTGATCCTAAAACCAATCTTGGTTGTTATCACCTTCATACTTTACGCAAAAGGAAAATACGAAGATGGAAACTTCAGTGTCAACCAGTCCTATCTATACATAACTATCATCTATACAATCTCATACTCTATGGCATTGTTTGCTCTTGCACTATTCTATGCGGCATGCAGAGATCTACTTCAGCCTTATAACCCTGTCCCGAAGTTCATCATAATCAAATCAGTTGTGTTTCTAACGTATTGGCAGGTAAAATCTATTGTAAGGGTTCATTTCTTTCTCTGAATTACTTGTGACTTGTGAGCCACTACTAGTCTAGTAGCCTGTTCAGATTTCTTACATGGAATGGCAGTTTTGCAAGCAAAATGACCCCATCCAGTATTTGTTGTTACTTAGTGAAATAAATAATCCTTTTGTAACAGTCTGGAAGCTTTTCTCACAGGGTGTGCTGGTTTTCCTTGCTGCAAAATCTGGATTCATAAAAAATGCTGAGAAAGCTGCCTATCTCCAGAACTTTGTGCTATGTGTTGAGATGCTCGTAGCAGCCATTGGGCACCGATTTGCCTTCTCCTACAAGGAATATGCTGGCTCCAATGCCCGCCCTTTTGGTGGTTTTAGGGGAAGCCTTCTTCACGCGATGAAATTCAATGACTTCTATCATGACACTGTGCACCAGGTAAATTAGCAATCATTCTCTTCACAGCTCATCCTGGTCTCAGATGTGAAGCATATGCATGATCTCCCTGTATCCCAATTTCCAGAGTGCAGTTTCAACTTTTGTATCAGCTAACTGTTTTCTCCCGCATTGCAGTTTGCACCTACATATCATGAGTATGTGCTCTACAGTAACGAGGGGGAGGATGAACCAACAAAATACAGCCCCAGCACTATCGTGCCAACCGGAGAGCACCTAGTAGAGCTGGCGGAAGTCACTGTTGTGAGCTCGAAGGCTCCAGGAATGTCGAGTTTATTGCTGAATGAGGCTGATCAGGCAGAAACAATGCCCTCCCAAGTCGTGGAAGCCAACACCGCTGCTTCCGTGGAACCATACGACCTCTCAAGCTTCCTCAACGTAGAGTTATCTGATTACCCTGATCAGGTCCCTGCGATTCCTAATGTAAGAGAACAATGACATGTTGCGGTGTATATTCATGGTGTAAAATGAGCGGTAGCGCTGTTGAGCTGACCATAGATTACGGTGTACATAGAAATGTCTCGTGTCGGTTTTGTTTCATTGTTCATGCATTTGAGTGGCATGCTCATGTTTTCTCCGTGTGGGTTAAAAATGAGCCAAGCTGACAGATGAATTTGAGGCGTAAGCGGAAATATGCGGTGTAAGTAACATGTAGATTTAAATGAATTGCTTTTGTCGATGAGACGGGTCACGGAGGGTATATGTTGGACTGGACGTGGTTTCTGTGCTGATGATATTACGAAAAGTTCACGTGCAAGCAACGTGTTGTGGATTAAATGAATCTGTAAGATTGCAGAGATATCGGTTTACAGGAGATATGTCCTCATGAGTTCAAATGGTTAATCGTATGACGATTAAATTTCCCTGCTGCTGCAATGGTATACTTCATCTACGAAGGCCCTAAATCATATTCTAATCAACATTACAAAATGACTGGTTTATGACACTTCCTAAATAAAAGGTAAATGGTACCTTAAAATATGCACCCAAAAATTATACCTAACTGATTACCATTAGGGACAAGCAGCCCGGATGTCTAGATGGACGCTCGCGCATACGCATGCTGCTGCGCGTGCCCGCGCCACACGGATGTCGTCCGCACCGCTAGACCACGCGCGGGAACCGCTTGCGCCCCCTCTGCTTCCCACTCGCATGCACGCAGGACCGTCTGTGCCTGCTCAGCGGCACCCCAACAGCTACGGCAAGTGTGTCCCATTGCAACATGTGTAATACCATATCTACTTTTGCAGCATACGTCCGTAACAGCTAAAACACTTACAACATACGTCTGAAACACTTAAACACCTAAAAAACGCTTGAAAGTCATTTCAAAACATATGCAACATCCAGATGAAATACTTGCAACATGCGCGTGAAAATACCTGAAACATTTGGAATACGCTTGCAACATACATATAAATGCAACATCCAGATCCATTTTAAAAACATCCAGATGAGAAACATACGCTTGCAACATGCGTATATAACCATTGCAATACATGCAATATTAAGATAAAACGTTTAAAACATACATCTGAAATACCTGAGCACGGCATCACCGGCGGCCACGACCCGCCGCGGCAGTGAAAGGATCAAGATGTCTAAGAGGGGGGGGGGTTGAATTGGGCTAATTCTAAATTTTCTTGTAATAATTAAATCCTACGGTTAGCCCAATTAACCCCTTGTGCCTAGAAAGTGTTTCTATTTATCTATCGCACAAAAGTTTAGCAACCTATGTTCCAATCCTACTCTAGCATGACAAGTCTATGAATGTAAATGACAAGAATTGAATTGCTCAAAGTAAATGCTCAAAGTAAAGAGAGAAGGAGGAACGCGGCGATGTTTTGCCGAGGTATCGGAGAGTCGCCACTCCTCACTAGTCCTCGTTGGAACACCCGCGCAAGGGTGTAGCTCTCCCTTGATCCGCGTAAGGATCAAGTGCTCTCTACGGGTTGATTCTTTGACACTCCGTCGCGATGAATCACCCACAACCGCTCACAACTTGAGTTGGGTCAACCACAAGCTCCGCCGGATGATCACCAAGCTCTCAATCACCACCAAGCCATCTAGGTGATGACGATCACCAAGAGTAACAAGCACGAACTCTCACTTGACCACGACAAGCTTAATGAGAAGGGTGGATGCACACTTTGCTACTCTTGCTTTCACTAATGAGGGCTCTCTTTGGGATTCTCAAATCTCAATCACCTCACTAGGACTTTGCTCTTTTTGGCACTCTCAAAGGTGTTTCTCAGCTGTTGGAATTAGCAAAAGTACCCCCTCACACGAATGGAGGAAGTATTTATAACCTTGGTTGAAAAGCGAACCGTTATGTGCCTCTACGGGGTGACCGGACGCTCCGGTCATGTTGACCGGACGCTCCGGTCAGTTCACCCCGAACTCCAGTGTTTAAGTGGTGACCGGACGCGTCCGGTCGTGATTTTCCCTCTCTAGAACCTTACTGGAGTCAACCGGACGCTGGCACCTAGCGTCCGGTCGCTCACCTCTCAGCGTCCGGTCGCACCAGACGAAATCACCTTGATCAAATGAACTGACCAGACTTTGCGCCAGCGTCTGACCAGACCAGAACCAGCGTCCGGTCAGCATTTGACCCTCCATTCACTTTCAACTCTCAATCATATGTGAATAAAGTTTACTCCAATGGATCTAAGGGCTTTTTAGGAGCTACCTAGTGCTAGATTTAGCAAGTGTGCACCACACCTAACTCACTAGACTCACCTAGGTCAAGCTACCCGTCCATATCCCCCTTAATAGTATGGCCAAAGAAAAAACAAAGTCCTAAACTACTCTAAGTGTCTCTTCAACTCCAAACGACACTTAGAACTAGTCCATCCTTAACCTTGTCATCCATCCTTTAAAAACCGAAACGATTTCCATCGTAGGGGCATGACCACCATGATTGCCCAATCGATCTCCATTACCATGACCTAACTTAATTGCCTCTGCAAAACACACATTAGTCATAGTAGTCACGTATTGTCATTAATCACCGAAACCCAACTAGGGGCCCAGATGCTTTCAATCTCCTCCTTTTTGGTGATTGATGACAATACCACATCGAGTATGTGAAAGAGATGATGTTTTTAACATGCTTGGATCATATAAGCTTTTGACAATAAGAACAAAAGAGTTAGGCAAGCATATATGACCCAAGCCAACATGATGTACTCAATAGATGTGAAATAAGCATGAGTACAAGTAATAAAACTCATTTGCATCGGAGTAAAACGCGGAAGCAAAACAAATGAGCATAACACAAGTGATATGACATATAAATAATTCAAAGTAGAGAGCACACATATCACATATCACATAACTATCACGATCACGTAGATATCACTATCACATAAATATAGTTCGATGCATGAAAGTAAACACATGAATGCATAATAGTGTATCACACATAAAAACCAAATATAATAGATAAACTCCCCCTAAATGAATCGATCCCCCTAAGTCTAACATACTCGATCCCTCTCCCCCTTTGGCATCAAACACCAAAACCCACGGGTCGGTCGGCGGGGTTGCAACGGACGAGTCGGGCGCTGAGGTACAAGGGGCGAGCTGGAACTGTGTGCCATCATCATCTGATCCTAAGCTCTATGCAGTCTGACCCTCTATGACTGGAAGCGACGCTGAAGCGGTCTGGGTCGGATCTAGAACTGGCGCTGCCTGCTCTGATGATGCAACTGAAGATGGGAGAGTCTCTGTAGTCCCAGTAATAGGAGCAACTATGGAAGGACCAGGGACATGTAGCTCTGGTGGTGTAGGTTGCCCTGTCAACTCACTGAATGAAGCACCAAGGCTCCTAGAGACTGGGGTGAGCACTGACAAACTCTGAGGCGGAGTGAAGCCCGTATGAAGAGGAGTGAACTATGGGGCTGGCACTGGCGAAGCAAACCACCGGGACACCTACTCTGTAGGTGAAGGAAACTGTGGCGCTGGCGGTCCCTGACTCTGAAGCCCACTAGGCTGGAAAGCTAGAGTCATAGAAGTGGTGGCAGGCTGACCAAGATGGGGCGAAGGCTGTGGTGGTGGAGCCTCAATAGCTGTCACAACATGCTGCATAAACCCAAGTAGCTGTTGCTGCATGAGAAGCTGCTGCTGATGCATGGCCTGCTGCTGCTGCTGGATCGCCTGCTGCTGTCGCTGGAACTCATCCTGCCTAGTCTGAAACTGTGCAAATATAGCAGTTGTCTCCTGAGCCTAGCAAGCCTGATCCTGCCTTATCCGCTCAAGTATACCAAGTAGAGCGGGGTCTGTCTGCGGTGCAGGTGGAGCTAAACTGGAGCTACCGGCCTCATGGTCATGTCATCGTGGAGGCATCTGAGGGATATCCCGGTAGTCATCATCTGAGCTATCGTTGCGGTCGCTCTCAACCATCCCCTCCTACCAAGCATCTAACTGCTCCTCCTCAGTAGCTGATATGCCCCTGATGGTCTCATCCTATTGGGCTGCAATCTCTGGCACCTCTAGACAACGTCGCAGCTGGCTGGGTGTCCTCACTGCACTATGGCGGATCATCTGAGTCATGTTGTATGCAGGGAACTCTGTAGTAGCATCATTGTACTTTGCCAGCATCTCAGGTGGCCTCACAATAATTGCCCTATGGATCAGGAATGTAATTCAGCGAGCATATGGCAGCTGCCTGTGACCCCTGAACCCCTCTGCAATAGTATCCTCCATCTTTGATAGAAGGAGATCCCAAATGTCAAACATAGTTTGCTACATCAGAGAGTTCAGTAGCCATAACTGTATGCGAGTCAAGCCCTCGCGATACCCCATCCTTGGAAGCAGGGTCCTCCTCATAATAGCATCCAGCACTCTAGCTGTAGGAGTGAGATCACTGGGTGTCCTGCTAGACCCCTCGTCGAATGGCTCTGTGAAGCAATGGTGGACCAAATCTATAGGAGGTACCATACTGCTGTGAGGGCATCTAGGAGGCACTGTCTGTCCATAGCACACCTCATGTAGCCGAACGGGATGCTCCTGAAGCCTGAGTATCTCCCTGACCCTAAAACTCATCAGCCTGTAATCTCTGCCTCTGAATGCAAAGTGAATGAATCTGTGCTGCGGGTCAATCCAAAGTGTGGCATAGAACTCCTAGACCCAAGATGGAACATATAAGCCCGTCCGTCCGAGTAAGTCTGTTAGCCCTAGTAAATAAGCAAGGTATGGGCAAATATGCTCTCCAGTTGCTGCTATAATGGACTCAATGTTGCACACCCTCTGAGATCTAAATACTGCCTCACTGTTAAGATATGCATTATAAAAATCTTCCTGCAGTGGTGTGTAGAAGCCCTCTGATGCACGCTCATCCCGCCTCGGCAGAAACCACTGATCAAAGTCCACAAATCTGAGCTGATGCACCTGCTTGGCCGTGGCGGCCCTCAAATCTAGATGAGTCACTAGAGGTA